TGTAATCTTTCAAGCCCCAGGAAGTCATAGCCTCTATCTCGAGGCTTGATCCCCGCCAACAGCATGGAGCACTGGCTCTTCATCCTGTCTCAACCTGATTCATATTGGAGAGCAGCGGGTGTGGGTTATCAGGGAAACACACATGCCATCTTCAAAAATTACCACCAGCCCCTTGGCTAGACCAATGCACATTGCTTAAGGCCAACTGAAAAGATAAAGAGAAGTCCTAGCCAGCTCTGTACATATCAACACAAGGAAACAGGGTCAGGCTCAGCCAAAATGAAGATAATTGCTCTTCTTTCAAGGAGAGCTGCTCAGGTGGTCCTCCACAAAATATTGCTAAATGTGTGGCTCTAAAGAATTTATTATCCTCTCTTAGCTCAGTGGGTGGATGGGCTGAGCTGGGTGGGTCTTATTCAAGGTTCTCAGGGACTGTTGCAGTTGGGGACCAGTTGATAGAGAAGTCTTCTGAAACCTTGGCTGGGGTGGGCTTCCAAGATGGCTTATGAATGGCCAGTGATTTCACTTTTTATTTATTTATCTATTTATTTTCAGAACCAGGAATTGAACTCAGGCCCTTGCGCTTGCCAGGGAAGTGCTCATTCCACTGAGCCATCTTCCAGGCCCATGATTTCACTTTTTATTTATTTATTTAAAAGAAGCCCAACCTTTTTCTTTGTGTGTGGCAGAACCAGGGATTGAACTCAGGCCCTTGCGCTTGCCAGGGAAGTACTTATTCTACTGAGCCATCTCCCCAGCCCCAATGGCCAGCGATTGCTGCCATTGTTTAATGGGAACTCCACCTCCAGAGCACCTCTCTGCATGGCTTGGGTTTCTGAGAGCAAGGATGTTGGCTTCTGAGTGGGCACAGTTGGTTCAATCACAAGTATTCCAAGATAGCAGGAAATGGAAGTGGCCAGGCCAATTAAGGGTTATTTATGGAACTGGTGATGTCATCTCAGAGTATCCAACTGGCCCAAAGCAGTCACAAGGTCTGCTCAGATTCAAGGGGCTGGAGAGATAAGCCCCATGTCCTAATGGGGGAGAGGCAAGATCTCACTGCAGATGGGCTTGGGGGACAGGAGATGCTACGGAGGCCACCTTTGGAAAATATAGTGTGCAACTAACATGCAGTGATTTTCTGGTCTTCCTAATGCTCTTTCACTAATACCTAACCCCGTTTCTGCTTCCACTACTGCAACCAATTCAAGCCCTCATCACTTTGTAGCTAGCTGATTGTTAGAGCTATCTTTCTGCTCTGCAGGATCCCCTTATTACTAATAGGCAGTAATATCCAAGTCACTGATGGGAATACTTTCTGTCTGGAAATACAAGATAGAAACTGGAAAAAAAAAAAAAAAAAAAAAAAAAAAAAAAAAAAAAAAAAGAAACTGGAGTGCTAGCTTTCATGTCCTTTTTCCAAGTGAAAATCAGCGCTGGTAACTCAACCTTTAGGAAAAGTCACAAGCTACCAGACATGGTCTGGTGTGATGTTGACATATAGAGGATGTAGAGTTTTAAGCTCCCAACATTGCAAAATCAGGGGCTTTTATATAGAAATCCAGGCTCGGGCCGGCCAAATAGCTCAGCAGATTAAAAAGCCTGCAAGCAGGCACAGGGGCAAGGGGGTTCGATCCCCAAGCCTGCAGTGCTGGCCCCACCCCCGGGGCACACTGAGATGGCAGTTGAGACTGGACATGGTGGCGCATGCCTGTGATCCCAGCTCTTGGGAGGCTGTAAACAGGCGGATCACTATGAGTCCGATTAAGTAGTGAGCCCCTGAACACCCTGTGGACCTTTCCCTAAAAAAATACAAAAAAAAAAAAGAAAAAAGAAAAAAGACAAAAAAAAAAAAAAAAAAAAAAAAAAAAAAAAAAAAAAAAGGCTAAGCTCCATTTGAAAAACTGAGTTCTTACATATGAAAGCATTCATTTATTCAACTAATACATTCTAGATCCTAAACAAAAGAAGAGAAAAATCCTGTCCATATGGAGTGTAATTCTGGTTATAGGAGGCAGACAACAGACAAGTGAATATATAGACTGTTGAATGGCACTGTGCTTTGAGGAGGGCCTTGGGAGGCAGAAGCAAAGGAGTGGCAGGAAGGGCTGCAATGTTAAATCAGGGGGTCATGGGGACCTCACTGAAATGGTGACATTTGAATATCAAAAAAATTGAAATAAATAAGAGCAATGTAGATTTCTAGAACAGTGCAATACCATATTGGTAGCCACTAGCCATATGCTGCTATCTAAATTTACAGGATTAAAGTTAAATGAAGTTAAAAATTCAGTTCGTCAGTCACACTTGCCACATTGCAAGTGTTCAGTAGCCACCCATGGCAATGGCTGTAACACGGACCAAAAACATCCCTGTCAGGACAGACAGTGCTGCTGAAGGTGCCGCCAGAGGGTACAAGGAGTGCAGAGGTGATGGAGCCTGGGGCGGTGGTGGTGCTTGATTTGAAATAGTGGCATGGCTCTTCTGTTCACACATTCCTGTTCTTACCTTAGACTTCCTATTTTTATCCTGATAATACATGGTCTTTCCATTTATCATCTTGACTTAAGCCAACTTTTCAAAGGTACTTATTAATGTTAAGTGTCAGATATTAGGTTGATGCCCTAGAAGCTACAGAAAAGTCCATGATCTTTGGCCTTTCATAAAAAATACTATACAGAAATGGATTAAGACCAAGGATCTGGGCAAAGAGACAGGACACATGGGTTTTGTTTGGAGAAGCTGAAGTTACAGGGCACAAGTCAGAGTTGTAGCTTGTGTCAGAGTTCCTGGAAGGCATTGGGGACCCCAGTGTCAACCCGATAGTTGGTATAGCACAGGAAATTTGGGGTATGGGGGGGGACAGTGTCCCCTGGGGCTCAAAGCAAGAACTGTCAATGGGAGCTGAAGCATTTTAACACTGCTGTGCACAAGTGGTATTGTAGCCCGGAGAGGTATTTGGGAGAGCTATTCGGCAACTTCAGCCGAGTATAGAGTTTGTTGCAGAGGCCTTCCCAATAAATGCTCAGGGTTTAAATAACAAGACTTCGGCCTTCTGCAGTGTGTTACCAGCCTCTAATTCTGGAATTTCCTCCTCCATCTTCATTGGGCTTTCACATCTTCCCTGAGCCTAGTATATTCTCAGTGTCCTCAGGGAGGTCCTGGGTGACACCACCAGGGTCTTTTCATCACCGGTTCTTTTCATCTCCCTTCTTTAGAGCTGAACCTTCCCTGCTCAGCCTCAAGGCGCGGTTCAGACTTTCTTCCTTTCACTGCTTTATCTTTGCCCCGCCCAGGCCAGAAGCAGTTCTCTCTCCAGAGGCTGGGGGAATAGTCATTATCAGCGCTCAGCAATCAGCAAGAGTACTCTGGGCAATACCTTTTTTTCTGTATCTTTATTATACTTAGACCAAATCTTTTCTTCCTTAAGAGCAGCGATCCAGGATCACAGACCATTCTCCCCTTTTCAAGCTTTTGGGTTGTTTGGTTTGGTTTTTTGAGACAAGGTCTTGCTGTCTAGTTCAGGCTGGTTTTGAACTCACTATGCAGGCTAGGCTGGTCTTGAACTCACAGCAATCCTCCAGCCTGTCTTCCAAGTGTTGGAAGTCACAGGGCACAAGTCAGAGTTGTGGCTTGTGTCAGAGTTCCCCAGAAGTGTCCTGGAAGGCATTGGGGACCCCAGTGTCAACCCGATAGTTGGTATAGCACAGGAAATTTGGGGTATGGGGGGTCAGTGTCTCCTGGGGCTCAAAGCAAGAACTGTCAATGGGAGCTGAAGCATTTTAACCCTGTGTGCTGGGATTACAGGTGTGCCTCACCATCCCCAGCTCTTCCTTTTTCTTATCCAGCCTTCTTTCTCTATATACCTTTGCCAAGTATCTTGGGTGAGAGAGGTAAGTGCAAAATGCTAAACCAGCACAAGAACCTGGCTTCCTATAACCCTTGCCATTAAAAAAAAAATGTTGCTGTGTTTTGAGATGGGGTTTTGCTATCAAACCTTGAACTCACTTTGTAGCCCAGGCTGGCTCCTTGAACTCATGGCAATCCTCCTGCGTCAGCCTCCCAAGCACTGGGATTACAGGTGGTGCCGCCACACCCAGCTGTAAAACACTTTAAATGTGAACCAGTTGGTTTAATTCTTGCAAACCACAGGCCAAAAAATGGCAACTCCAGGGTCCTTCTGGTCAGGAGTAAAAGCTCTCCCTGGCCCTTGTTGAAGACATTGTCCTGGGGTGTGAAGACGCCCAGGCCCTGCCGGAGTAGTGTGACTCCCACGGCTCCCAAGCCTGCCTCCTGGAATGGTATAGTAAACGCCGCGGAGTGCCAGAAGTCCTTTGCAGTTTACCAAGCACATTCATTACACCCGGCAGGTTTTCAGGCAGGTTTTCAGGGCAGCGCAGGTTCCAACAAGTGATTCACCCTCGGGTCATCAGACTTGGACTGACTTTGCTAAACCCCTATTGTAAGCAAGAAAGTTTTCTCTCCTCATCTTCTAATAATGGATGTGGTCAGCGGGCCCAGCGTGGGGGCAGAATACTGAGCCTCGCCGCGTTGCCTGGGAGCAGAAAACCGAGCCCAGGTTGAAGATCTTTGGCAGCAGCAGGTTCTAGGGATAGAGACTTGAACCGGAGGAAGGCAGACTTCTCAGCTCCCTCTATCCAAGTCCAAGTCCAGCCTGGCCGTTGGGAAGAGGTGAAGGGAGACTTCGCGGTCGCGGCGGAGGGCTCCGGGAGGCCGCCCCTGGCCCGCGGCTGGGGCCACGGCGCGCGCCCGCGCAGCTGCTCC